TATTTGGAGGTTTGGTTTTTCACCTTTTTTTTCTCTTTGATTCTGGAACTGATATTTTGTATTTAGCCAACAAAATGTGTTTCTTCGTTTTAACTCAAGTTAGCCAAAGTTGATATTTGCAGATTTTCAAACATTTCTTATTATTATAATAGCTAATTACATTCAGAAACGGTTCATGGTCTTCATGTTTCACACTGTAATAATACCAGATTCTAGAGGCATCACAGCATACAAGGAAGTCGATGATTTCTACACCACTGCTCTATGGCTTCATCTCCTGTCCCGCTTGCATTTTGTGTTTTATACAAATACAAAACTGTCTTGGTTTGCCATTAACCTGTACAATTTATTACTTTATATTCTCCACTGTGCTAAAAGTGATTGCCCTTCCACTCTCACAAAAGTCTCTTGATTCTTAAAGACTAGTAGCTCTCCAAATTGTGTACTTCCCCCTTTACTATCCTAAGAAAATCCACCATGAGAGAAGATTGCTAGAATAAGTAACATGTGCTCTGTATTTATGGGGGGGGTGGCAACTGAAGAGAAAAGCTGAATTGTGAGGGAAGGCAAGCATCTTTTGAGTGTAATGTACGTGAAATTTTATGCCTTGGAAGAAAGACAATTTGTCAGCAGGCTACAAAGCAAAGATTCTTTGTCCAGAAATACTCTAAATAGGTGGTTAGTTGTTTTATTGCTTTCACCTAACAGTCCTTCCTCTAACCTGGCTGAATGATAGCAGCTTTACATGCCACAATTTCGATCCCAAAGCAGGTCAGAAGAGAGGGAGGTGAGACCAGAAGAAGGAAGATAGAACCAAAATGGAGTGTTGGTAAATGCTGAGGTTTAAACTCTTGAATATTTGGGGTATTTCCTGGGGGAGAAAATATCCACGAAGGAAGACTATCAAACCTCAAAAGAAAACGCAAAGGCTATAAAAGTCACACTGGAACTGGGGTGTGACAGGAACAGAGACAAGTATTGATTCATCTGTCCCAAATTTCGTCAGAAAAAGTGTCTCTATGTACCCAAATAAGAAAATACAGAACCCGAGTCAGAAGCTGAGACTTAGAAAATAATAAATATAAATGTAGTGGTTCTGAAAAATGAGTACAAATATTCAAAAAAGGTAGTCTCATGAACTCATTTACAATCACTAACTTTGCTGATCTTCTTTCCTGTTGGCATCTTTAAAAGTCATATTATTTGATTGATCCAGGCTAAGATTCTTCTTCTTTGTCCAATTATGTACTTCTAAAATTCTGTGCAAGAATTATTGCACGCTTTCCTTGGTTTTAGTTTTGCTATTCTTATGTGACACAATGAACTATGTCGAATTTTTGACTACATTACCTCTAACATGCTTCATTATTATTGACATGTTTTCCTACAAAGTTTTGTTTTTCTGTGTTTTCCCATGAAAAAGTATCACAACAATCAATATTGCCATGGAAACACAAACACATAGAGTATGTGCAGTGAAAGAAAATAATAATAATATTTCTTCCACATATCAATGTTAAGAATAAAACATTCATTAATACTAAATATGTTACTATATACACTAAAGCTTGTGGTATAAAATGTAAAATGGGAACGGATATTACTGAATTGTATAACAAACAGAAACTACCATTGTTTGTTTATTCAGTTTATTTTATAAACATTGTTTTAATGAGAAAAAAAGAAAATTTTCAAATACTAATATTCTAAGTCTAAAGTTTGTCTTACACTAATACAATAGGGGTCCTCTATCAAGAATCATAAAGGTATCATTAAGCTCAAAGATTTCTCTAGCACATGTAACTAAAAATAACTTGTTACTTAACTAAAAGCCTCATTCTAAATTGTAGGTAGTATTTTCATGGTACAAACTAGTTATTTCATAAAGCTTCACGAAGTGTTTGGGATAATAAAAGTTCACAGCTCTTCAGCTGCTCTAAAACAAGAACACACACTGCTTAAAAATAAATAGATAAAGGACTGAGAAAAAGGGTCTGGGCCCTTGAAATACCTGCTTTCACTACATGCCATGATTGTACTGGTGAAAAATGCAAGAGTCTAATATTGGGCAAGGTTAATAACTTAAAAGTATAAATGTGTACTTTTATGGAAAGAAATATAGCTGGGTATTAGACACAGTCTCAAATCTTGTCTCTGCCATTCTCTAACTAGTCTACATTTTTACCTGGGACATTTACTTAACCTACTGAGCTTTAGTCTCATTCTCAGTGAAATGGTGATACTTTCACCTAACATGAAGGATCTTATGACAATTACACATAAACATTTTCTCTTAAATAGCATGTAGTAGATGTTAATGTGGTATATCTACACACTATGAATACTATTCAGCCATCAAAAGGAATGAAATTATGTCTTTCGCAGCAACTTGGATGGAACTGGAGACCATCACTCTAAGTGAATTTAACTCAGGAAGAGAAACCAAACCTTGCATATTCTCACTTGGAAGTGGAAGCTCTACTAAGGATCTGTAAAGGCATAGAGAATGGAATAATGGACATTGGAGACTCAGAAGGGTAGGAGAGGAGGAGGGGGAAGGATGAAAATCACCTGTTGGGTACAATGTGCACAGGTAGGATTGGTGGGCACACTTAAAGCCCAGACTTCTTTGCACAGCACAGCGCAATCATGTAACCAAAAACTGCTTCCCCTAAAGCTATTGAAATTAATAATAATAGCAACAACAACAACAATAATACATGATAGTTCTTTGAAATAAGTGAAACTTTTCAGCATTGGAAGAATCATGCATTTTATGCTTAAGAAAAGAAAAGTAGCTGAGTGTTGACATGTCAGGATTTATTACTAGATCAGGGAAAGTCTACAAGGTGATGTTCAGTTAAAGGACTCAGTTTTTTGTTAAGTAATCAGATCATATTCTAAACCCATATTCCCTGATCTCTGGTTGTCTTTCTACTAAACCAATCTGCCTTTCAGCTGAGTCACTATAGTTCATTTTATGATTTATACTTAAGGATTTTTTTTCATTTTAAAAAAATGTTAAATTTATTAAATGAATTTCAAGTCTGCATTGCACTTTTAATGAAACATACTAAAAATAACCTAAACAAACATGATCGTGCTACACTGTATGAATTAAAATGTATATGCAGTGACAAGCAAGTGCACTTTAATGAAATTATCAGATAAATATTTTACTATAATAGGCATATTTCTAAGGCAGTCAGTAAGCTTTCAGGATTACTAAAATCTTCTAAATACAGGACATTAGGGAGCCAAATTGTCAATTTCTGAAAATGTATGAGAAAAAGGAAATCTGTGGTAAACCATAATCCTTTTTGCAAAAGTGTATGAGCAAGTTTTATTTATATTAAGATGTTTTAAGTAGATGATATTTCAGAATGAGTTTGGTAGACGATTTTGGAGTCGTTGTCCTCAAAAAAATTCTAAAGAAATACAGGAAACTGAATAGACTGATGTGAAGTTCTCTAATTTTGAAAATTTATGATAAAATCTACCATCTGACATTTCACTTCAGCTTTCATGTTTCAAAATATAAAAATAAAGACTATGAATGTAAGTGTCCTAAAACTGTCTTTAAAAATGAGGTACACTTTATTGTATGCTTTTATAAAATGCCTTTGTAGAACAGGACTCTTTTATATTTCACAAATATCTTATTGTGCAGATCAGGTGTAATTGTCCCAGTTGCAAGATGGTCTCCAAATTTTATTTTATAGTTTATACAGTATCACTAGTGAACAATACATGATCAGTAGGACTTTTGTATTTCCATTGAAGGGCCTGTAGAGATAACAATGTAAGAAATATAACCTAAATGAGATTTCAGCTTCAATGAGATTTCAAAAAACGTATGCTCTTAGGCTTTTTCATAACAATGAAGATCCGCTTGTAAAACCTCACTAGATAAACTTTCTTTAATCAATCACGCTATAAAGTGAATTGAATTTTTCTCTTGATTGCTTTCATTTTTACTTTTGAATTTCAATTCATTTCTTGCTGGCCAAATTTCTGTCACTGAAGCATGTACACTTCCAGCTCATGAATAATGTGGTGCTTCTTTAAATAAGCATGAATGAGGCAAACCTAGAAATTATCTCTTGACATAGTAAACTCGCTGATCCCCAGACACTTTGTGTCTTATAAAACATCAAAGGAAGTTGGAACCTGGGATTTGTTTATGATCCCAGGTGTTTTCTATCTCTATGATGATCTGAATCTCTATTATAAGAAGACAGCATTTCCTGAGTGATTTTTGCTAAGAAATCTCATGAATAGATAACTAGTGAGATAAAAAAAAAAATTTTTTTTAGATGATGACTCTTCCTTTGAGTAGGAAAGTCAAAAAATGTTCCATTTTATATTGTTTGATTCTTCATTATTCCTGAAGAAAAAAATGTGTTGTTGGCATATACCATATCTGACAAAAAGGTTGCAAAGACACCTTTTTGAGGCTGTAAAAGTTAGCGTGTGAAGAATACCTTAGTTCATGTAATCACTGTATTTTCTTTCTAGTTTGCTTCCTCTGGATGAATGCATTTCTAATTCTCAAAATGTTGCTCGCACATGAAGCTTAGATATAATTTTTCTATTAAATTCAAAATTGATCAATTTCTGTACCATTTTATGTACAAGCATATTATTCATTTTCATTTCTTATTTACTTGGACCTGGAGGAATGTTGGATTGGCATAACATTCCCTCAAACTTTTCCTAATATTTTACATCCATGCATTAATTAAGAAAAGGGTGTCAGAATAAGTATAGAGGTACAGAAATACAGAGTCAAAAGTAAATGCTGCAGGGTTATGCAGGCAACATCTAATTCTTCCAATGGTGGGCAGGGTCTAAGGTCCTCAAACATGAATATTAGCCCATTAAAAAATTAACTGATTCAGTGATTACTTTCATGTATTCACAGAGAATATTTTGCCAATGCATGCAAAACACAGCTTAACATCTTTTCTTCTTAACAGAAAAGTATATGATATACATACTGTAAGGGACACATTCATACTGCACTTCAAGGTATTTATAGGTTCCTGGACATGGATCTGGAAAAACATCAGGACCTGCCACCACTGCACACTGGGTTCTGTTATTGCATCTGAAGTCAAAAGAAAGGAAAAGAAAGGGTAAGTTTATGCATGTTAAGTTATTATCCATATCAGTGCTAATTTTATTTTGTTCCTACTACACAGATTTCAATAAGGTTTTTGTGATTTAGAGCTTTAGACTTATAAAGAAAATAGCTGTAGTGTACTTTAAAAAAATAGACATTAAAATCTATTCATTGAGCTTGTTCACATTAACTAATTTAATATGTGGTTAAAATACAGAATGACTTTGAATTAAAACTTAAATATTGCTGAAACAAACTAACTGTTTCGCATGCTAATGCCAATGTGAAGACAAGTAAGATGAATTATTTGATGGGAAAGAACCACTCCATTACAAAAGAAAAGTTTAATTAAACAGTTGTAAAGTAAATTCACTGACTATGATGACATTCATTTCAAAGGCAGTGAAAAGCAGTTTTGAAAAGCTTTATCCAAGACTTAAAGATCAGTAAAAAGTTAGTATTTAAATATTAAAAATATAATTTAATCTATTTCATATAAATTAAAAATAATATTACTAAGGGACTGAAATCATTTTAGGAAATGATTCCCTTGTGTTTAGTCAAATAATGACACTAATCTCACAAATTACTGATCACAAATGCCAACATACTATAATTAAAAACAAAAACTTTACATTTCTAAAGAGAATAATCAACTACCAATAGTAAGACATAAATACAAACTTAGGCACTTTTGTGGCAATTAGGCTAAACAGATCTGATCCGACTTGTTCATGAGGAAAAATATATATAATGAAATTAATTCTTACTCTGAAAAAGACATCTGTGTTCACAGGGGCCTCATTAGTGTGAATTTTACTCAGAAACTCTACATGTAATGTATCCTTATGTAGATTGTATCCTTCTGTAGCTTTTCCTGTTAAAAAATGTATCCTTATGTGAATTTTTCTGTAAAAACCAATGGTTTATCCCAGTTATAATGTTGGCACTAAGTAGCAGTACCTAGGATGAGATACTCTAATTAACTCCTGTGTTTTATGTTTTTGCTTATTCATTTGAGAAATATAATACCTCAGGGCTAGATGTTTCTGTTAATTTCTTAAAGAGATGTTTCCTTCTCTGATGTTATCTCAGAAAACATGCTAGGATACTGGCAGCATGAGAAACATCTAGAGCAGAATTCATTTTGACCGGGTGTAGAAATATGTTGTGTTTACCTGAGGCTAGCATTTGTCAGACTTAATGAGGATTTTATTTAGTTTCTAAATTAAATATAATTCATTAGTGAATGTCATATACTGAAATATATATTCTGTATTACCAGTGAAAGACGAATAAAAGCCATACTCATCAGACAATTTAGCATAATAATAAATCCCGAGGGTTCAACAAGCAGTGAAGTTCTCTTATGTAGAAATAATGATGGTCAAAATACTGTATAATACCACTAATGTAAATGTGGTTGTCCTCACACAAGCACTGAAATAGGTGTCTTGCTATTTTAGTGTACTGACACTTAAAAAAAATAGAAATACTTCCTTGTTTCAAAAATAATTTGAAGAAACTGTCCAAGTTAAATGACATGTTTTTAGAAGTAAAAGGAATACAATTTTTACATCACATCAAAAATCTTAGGTTTCTCATACAATGAGAAGCAATAAGAACTCAGAAAAAGGTTATATTCTGAATTTTTTATAAAAATTAGTAATGATCAAAAATGCAAATGTGACAATAATGAAAAACAAAAGGGTGATGAAATTTAATAAAATGTAAATGATATGTAAATGTAATATTAATCCTGATACCCAGTCATCACACACACACACACACACACACACACACACACACACACACTACACTGTTTTCTTTCTGGGTTTATTTTCATTTTATTCCCTATTACTACAGCTCTAATAATAAGATCCACTTAGAAACAATGTCTACACTTGTAGTTTTGTATAAACATACAGTTGCAAATCTTTTATTTAAATAATCAGTATAAGATATCAGCAGGTCGCCTTACTCATTTATGAGTAGAGCATAAAGGTTAAATTTTGCAATTATGGAAGTATTTGTTGCACAGAAAGTTGTCTTGAATCAAGGAGGATTTCAAATGGTTATGTTTATATAGATTATATTTAAAATTATACGTTGGGCACAATACACATCTATCTGTCTATCTAAAAGTGCACCAACCAATTTACATATTATGTATTATTATTATTATTATTTTAGTTGGAGTCTCACTTGGTGGCCCAGACTGGAGTGCAGTGGCTGCTCCCCGCCACCGCAGCCTCGCCTGCTGGGCTCCAACAATCCTTCCGCCTCAACCTTCCGAGTAGCCGGAATTACAGGCATGTGCTACCACGCCGGGCTGATTTTTTTATTTATTGTAGAGATGAGGTCTCGCTGCCCAGGAGGGTCTCGAACCCGTGGGCTCAGGCAATCTACTCACCTCAGCCTCCCAAAGGTGTGGGATTACAGGCTGAGCCACTGAACCCGGCTATATTATGTATTATTTAAGCTATAATACTTGTTTATATGTAAGAGAATTTGAAAAGTGACTATCTGTTGTAAATATTTGTCATCACTGTGAGTTCCAAATATATATATTTTTGAGTTGGAGTCTCACGCCGTTTCCCAGGCTGGTGTGCAATGGCACACTCATGGCCACCCCAGAGTCAACCTACTGGGCTCCGGTGACCCTACCACCTCAGCCTTCCAAGTAGCCAGAACTACAGGCACGGGCTTCCAACTCCATCTAATTTTTGATTTATTGTAGAGACAAGGTCTCGCCAAATTGCCCAGACTGGTCTTGAACTCTTGGGCTTGGGAAATCCACTCACCTCAGCCTCCCAAAGTGCTGGGATTACAAGCTGATATTCCAAGCCCAGTCCCAAATATCTTTTTTTTTATTTTTTTGAAAGCAGGATTTATTGAGAGGACAGAAAAATTTCCCATAGTGAGAGGGGACCCAAAGGGGTTGTCTCCAACTATCTTAACATTAAGTGAAGATGGTAAGAAAGTCTTCTAATTAATTAGATAGTGTATGTTACTGTGGCATATAAAATAAAAATTGTCAAGTCAATTATACATTTATAGTAACTATCATTGTTTTCTATAAAACAGCAGCAGTTTATAATGTTCATTTTTCAAAATAATTAACTATTCTATTTCTATGTCTACATCAGATCCTCTTCTAAATTAAGATTTTGGGAAGAGTAGATTCAAACTCTGGTAAGAAACATTATAATACAGACTGTTTAATGATTAGCTAATTTTGAAACAGGAGTTTAATGGTTCTATCTTCTTGACTTTTCTTTAAAGTGACTTTAGTTACTGTGAGTCAAAATGAAATTAACTCTAAGATTTGATTAAAGATTTTAGAACAATTTACTCCACAAAGACTACTTTTAAAATTTCAAGATTTTCAAAAGATAAATTTCATATTATTGATGAAAACCGTGAGGTAAAAAAGTTCTCAAATGCTTTAACCCAATGTTTCATAATGTATTTTAATATAAATATAAAAAATAAAATGGTTTTCACTATGCCTCATAATTGATATTAAAGATATTTTTAAATGCACAAAAAAGGATGAGAAAATATTCCAACAAAACTATAAGCAACATAATTCACAAATACAGTGAAAACATTGTAAGTTTATGAAAGTTGAAGAGATTACTTACAGTGATAAGATTTTCTTTCTTTTTTTATTAGTTTATTTTAAAACAGTAGGGTACATTTCAGGATTAGGTACATAAGTGAGCAATATACAGGTGAAGTTTAGGCCTCCCATTAGTTCTCACTTTGCCTGATTTAGGATCAGTTACCCTTATTGATGTTATGTGTCCCTCCCTTTTCTTCCTTTCCTGGCAGTGTCCCCCTACTGCCAATCCCTTTCTTGTAGCATTATGTTAAATGTTCAGGGTCCATTTATGAGTGAGAACATGTGGTACTCAGTTCTTTGTCTCTATAATCACTGAGTATGACAGACTCTGAATCCATCCAAGTTATTGTGAAGTCCATCATTTTGTTCTTATTTATGGCTATGTAATATAACATCATGTATATATACCACATTTTTAAAATCCAGTCCACTTTCGATGGGCAGCATGGTTGGTTCCATGTTTTTGCTATTGTGAACAGTGTTGCAATAAACATGCATGCACAGGTTATCTTTTTGTAGAATGATTTGAGTTCAGACATTGGAATAGGCAACCAATTCCTGATCAAAACCCCAAAAACCCATACCATAAGAAATAAGATAGACAAGCGGGACTACATCAAACTGAAAAACTTCTGCAAAGCAAAAGAAACCATCAAGAGAGTAGGGAGACAGCCCACCAAATGAGAAAAAAGTACTTGCCAACTGTATATCTGACAAAGGCCTAACATCCAGTATTTACAAGGAACTCAAATGTGCCGAAAGGAAAAAAAACAAACAGCTCTGTTAAAAAGTGTGCAAGAGACATGAATAGACACTTCTCGAAAGAAAACATATGAACAGCAACAGATACATGAAAAAATGCTCAGCCTCACTAATCATCAGAGAAATACAAATCAAAATCACACTGAGATACCACCTAATTCCAGTCAGGATGGTCATCATTAATAACTCAAAAAACAACAGATGTTAGAGAGGATGCGAAGAAAACGGAACACTTATACACTGTTGGCGGGAGTGTAAATTAGTACAATCTCTGTGGAAAACAGTGTGGCAATTTCTAAAAGATCTAAAAATCGACCTTCCGTACCACCCAGCAATCCACCTTCTGAGCAAATGCCCGGAGGAAATCAAATCATTCTACAAAAAAGATAAGATTTTTAGTATGTTTTCATCAGAAACTTCAGGCAAAAACAATCTGTACAACAATAATAGACAATTTTCAAATAAAATATAAGCAGATGACAGACAAATACAAGATAGAATTCTTCAAGAAAACTCTTGGAATTTCAATCTTGTTTTTTTTTTTTTTTGAGTTCGAGTCTCACTCTGCCGCCCAGACTGGAGTGCAGTGGCCACT